AACTTATTTAGCCGAGAAGACAGTGCCCAGATGATCGTAGATGGACGTGGACCCAACTACTGTCAAACCTGAATTGCTCGTTTACACTTACCATTGATGACCTAGTCCCTACTTTATAAAGGTGATAGTGCCACAAAAATCACACCATGAAGGCAACGTTGCCGCCTGACTGTCAGTCATTACCGTCTACTGAACACGAGGGCCAAGTTTTACTATCAGTTGGCAACCTTCCAAGTCACAACTCTTAGGACATATAGGTATCGGTTGATGGAAATACTTTCAGTTATGACTAGGTGCGAAATAAACGGGACCCTTTGATGTTGCGACTAAGCAGTTGCAGCTCAAATGTTTCACGCCGTCCAATAAGACCTTACCTAACCCTCCTGTCTGGCGCAGCAATAAAACCTTACTCTGGCATGCTTACCGGATGAATGAAGGCGCGTGAACCCTCCGGCCCATGTGCTACGGGAGACCATGGTGCCACTCATTTCTAGTGAGTTACAGCTTCGGCAGAATAAGCCTACAGGTTCCGCTTAAAACTTAACCCTGTTACTAGAGGACGAATTAGAGTTCATGTGGTACCACCCACTTGGTCAATATAGAGTTAGAGAAATATGAGTGGTGTGATAAGCCAGGAAGAGCGTGCACCGCAGCTAAAACGTTTTTCAAAGCTGTATCTCCGGTAAAGTAGAAAACGATTCGGGGTTGGCTCTAGTTATTCTCATGTCCGACCTTGTTTTTATCCTTGTTTTATATCCACATTGCCTTCCAGGCCAACCTCACTGGAACGACTGTCGTCCCTGGTCACACCCCACCTCCAGAGCGACCTCGCTTTGAACCTACAGCAGTCGTCGCCGCTAGCACCATCCACTGCCTCCTCTGCCGCCGCTGCCGCTGCTTCACAATTTCAGCGCATGCCGAAGCTCACGCAGTGGACACTTAATCGGAAGAACTGGTTGGACCAACTGCTTGAATTAGAGATGCGGACAGACGAAGCCACATGGATTAACTATGCTGCCTACGAGGAGGAAATCAAGCAGAGCCTGGTAACCCAGGTGCTTGACGAGTTGCTGGAAAGCGCGGTATGCACGGTCTTCGAGACGGCTAAGGACCTCGTGGGCGCCAGCAGCAGAAACGGCACCAGTACGACCAACAACCAACGGTTCTCGCCCGACTCGTCGCAGTCTCGGCAGCCGAGCTCAGTGATCTCTGTCTCTTGATTTCTCATCGACACTCCCTCTCTCCCCCAGCCCCCGCCTTCGTCCCGGTGTTTCCGCCGCCTGGCGCCACCACGATTTCCCACCTCATACTCATTCATGCCTTCCAAGTATTTGTGATATTCAGGTTTGCCCTTCAAGGCGAGCAAGACTCCAAACCACCCCCCCCTTACAGCTCACGCTGTGTTTCATGCAGTCTTGTGTAAAGATCACCCCACGAGTAGTTTACTCATTTTTACACTAACATGTCCGTTGCACGCAACTGCTATCACCATCACCACCCCCCACTATGTGGATATCAGTGTATGCATCCGACGAATAACCGACTACCGCTAGTTTTACCCATTTCTTCCGCTCGGCGGGCCTTTGTTTCCCCCTCTCCACAATATGCTTCTTAACCCTCCGTAATATTCCTTCTCTAGCGTTCCGTAGCAAAGACTCTTCATGCCTTGCGATGCTGACAACCGGTTCTACTTTCTCTGTACACACTCATACCTCCACTCATGCACATCGGAACTTCCTACGTGAGGTTTCTCTACATATTTAGAGTTCTGATTATATAGTGACGACTGCTCATCTTTTTCGTCTTCCTTTGTTTCGGTTGAATTTCAATGCAATAGTTTTCACTATCGATGTGGAGCCTAGAGCCATGAGTTTCAGAACTCTCACCATCTGCTTGA